CAGGTAATCTCCCGACCCAGGGATCGAACCTGCGTCTCCTACATTTCCTGCATTGGCAGACAGGTTCTTTACCACTGAGTCACCTGGGAAGTCCTTATTTGTAGTCTCTAAGACTAAAAGCTCTGTCACACTGGTGACAATAAAGTAACCAACGTGCTGGCCTATAAGTAACATTAGGACCCATCTGCCTAATTTTGCCTTTTGTGCTGGAGGGCTTCCCTCCTGCCAGATTCTGTGTACTTGGGGTTTCCTGAGCATGGCATGGAGTGCCTAGGGCTGTCATTCCCCTGGATGTCCACACCCATTCTCCTGGTCTGGCAGGTAACCCTCTGGTGAGGACCACTGGCTCTACCTCTGTTTCAGGCCGGGTGTGTCCAGGTTCAGAGAGGGAAGTCTTGCTGTTCTTACTCCTTTTACAATCTTCCCATTAAATCTCGGCTCTGTGCCATTTTTTTTCTTGAGACACCTCATGATTTTGCCCCTCATTCATTATTTTGTGCAACTTCTACAAATTAAAACAGAGACGCATCTAGACAAATGAAAACATGTTTTATTTACAGGGAAAAAAGTCTGTACATTGTGTACACATAAAAATATACAAAACCAAACTAGAAAATATCAAAGTGTTAAACTGTGTACAAACACATTTAAAAGGTGACTCCTGGAAAACCTCAAGCCTTAATTCATTTTGAAGAGTACACATTTCATTTTAAAAAGTATCATACAAAAAAATTCCCAAAGCTGTTAAAAAAGTTGACTGGTTTTCAAGGATTTTTTTTCCAAGAAAAATTTCACAAGGATTTTTATCTAGAATATAACATGATGTGTGGTGTCATAAATGTTAGGTTTTAACAGTTCTGATGCAGTTAATTGGTGTGAAACCTAAGCTAGGAGACGGTTTTCCATAGAACCAAATAAGGATTTCTTCCCCTAATCTTGCCAAAACCATGAATTCTAGATCAACTTCCTATCAAAGATCAGACTTCAATTAGGTTTCTGATGAGGACATAACCTTTAGGCTGTATTTCTACCCTCAGAGCACCTTGTAAATATTTCTGCCATATTTTTTAATGTAGCCAGAAGGTGTGAAATATGAGTGCATGGGAAAACTGGATTTTTTTGTTTCACAGAAAGATATATAACATTGGCTTACTTTTCTTAAAAAACTGGTGTTTGCATAATTAAAAAAATTTATTGTCAAAGTTTTAGAAATAAAGTTTGATGAAAAAAAAAACAGTTTAAAAGCAACCATGTGTGTAGATACGTATATATACAATTATATAACTATATCTACATGCACACCTGTTATAACAAGAATCAGAACTATACCAGTATCTTTCATTTCTTAAATTCCATTAGCCTGAGGTCATAGAGAAATTTCTGGATTTCTTCTTACTAAAAGGCTTCAGCTACTTAATAAAGCAAGAATCAGAATTTATAATTTATTCCCTCAACAGATTAATATCTTTCATTTACCAATGGTATAAATAATGCCTGAGAGACAGACACACAGACACATGCAGAATAATTTCATGATGGAAATATCCGGAGTATAACACACAAGTGTGAACTCAGGCACATTTTCCCTAAGCACTGAATTTCTACATACATGCCCTCATTGGCTGTGGAACCTCTGGGTAAGAGTCCTAAACAATCAGAAAGTGAGAAGTCGACACAGGGAATCTGGTTGAATATATTCAGACACTATGTGGCCTGTGCACTCAGCCACGTGTTTCTTGGTCATCACCCTACCTCCTGGCTCTGCCTCTCCCCATAGTTAAGCAGCAGTGGGACTGGGTCACTTTGGCCACCAGCCTCAACCACGCACGGTGCCTTGATCTCTAAGAGAAAGGCTGGAGAGAGTGCTTTCATCATGACATCATCTGTGCACATAAAATCCTCCATCACCTACCATCCCTCACGTGATCCTGAGCCCACTCCACACAGCCAGACTGGACCTAATTAATTCTGTGGCTGTGAGTGTTCCTGCCCCTAAGGGACAGCCCACAACATCAGGAATTAATCTGTTCCACCAGAAGGAACTGGCTCATGGTCATGTAACAGAGTGACCCCGGGTGGCTTTAAACACTTACTTTCATTTCCCAGCTTTGAGAAGGCTGATCATTACTTCAGCATGGCTTTGTCTAGATGCTACAGCTACTGTGATGACGATTACTGGGGAGCCCAGTGTTGATTAAAGGAGAGTGTGGGACATGTGGGAGGGTGGGGCTGGGGTTCCCTGAGGCCTGCATACTGTGGACAATGACAGACCCTGGGACCAAAGTTGAACCAAAGCCCCTCGCCAGCCCTATCGGAGGAGGGTACTTATGTACCTCCTTCTTGTCCACCTGTGGGCTCTTCGCCCTTAAGGTGATGCACAGGGCCAGCACTGGCATCCCTGGGGACAGTGAGGATGCCCTACCTATTAGACCCTCCCTTCATACCTGGGGAAGGGCTGGACAGCCTCAAGGGGAGGACCTGGGACCTGGACATGAGTGAGCTGTCATTTCTGGTCAACATTTCAGTGTGACAACAGCAACAACAAAAGATGGAGTGAAGTTACCTGAAGAAGTGACGCAGAGTGACCTCCTTCAGTCCTGAGAGAGAAGAAAGGACCACCTAACGGCCTCAGTTTATGGATATCTCTTTACAGCAAGGGTGGAAGGTCTGGAAGAGGTGAAGTCTGAAAGCAATGCAGCAGGCACCATTTCCTTTAATTCCTTCATGGAGAGGCTGGCTGCTTATTGCAATGTGTGTCTTTTGAGGGCTTAATCACTGTCTGCAGACGTGAAGAGTCAACACATCAACTATAACTGCCTAATAGTTTCAAGGAGCTAAACAACTTAAACTCTTAAGCAGAAGAATGCCCAGCCTGCAATGTATGAATACTTGTACCATGTTGTTTTTAACAGACCCTGCTTCCCAAGAGTCTTTAAAGGCCATAATTAATCCAAAATCTTTAAATTTTCTTTATCCTCTTCAGTCTTATAACCTCTGTGAGCTAAAAGTACATTTTAAAAGTGCATGGGTTACAACAAAGTGTATTTGGAGGCCTCTGAAGTGTTTTCTGGGGCCTCTGAACTTGAATATCTATGCTGACCCGCCAGCAAATTTCCTTCTGCCCAGTAACTCATGCCAGCAGAAGGGGCTGTTCTGGACACAAGGGGGCCCAGAGGGGAACCCAGTAGGAAGGTGAGTGAAGAAACTTCAGTGTCATGGGCATCTGAGGTCAGAGCCTGCACGGTCTGGAGAGGGCCCAGGGTGACTGGACCGGTCACCCTGCACCAGCCACTTCCCAGTGTCAGGACTCACTGGACACTGCACAGGGCTGCGTCCCTTCAGGAAACGAGGGAGAAAAGTGGCCTGCTCATGTCTGCTTGGATATTAGTTGGCAGACTGGACAGAATTATCCATCCCTTATCATAAATCTGGAAGCGAGACTCTCACAGTAGGCTTATAGTGGATATTGTCACAATCAAAGCTTTTCAATGACCCCAAATTCACTGTGGCAATAAGCCATAGGAGATGTCTGGGACCTGGCCCGATTTCTGCTGGGTAGACTGACCAGAGAGGCCAGTTTCTGTCAACCATTCTTGCTCAAGAAAAAAAAAAAAAATCCTGAAACAAAAAAACCTTCTGTACTAAACTTTCCTGATGTTCACACACTTGTGGAGAAGAACACATTTAATGAAGCTGTGACTGTTCTGGCCAAGAAGTTGTAACTGGACAGCTGTGACAGGTGTTGGATATAGATTGAAATTGTACGTTGAACTAAGGTAATCCATAATGTTTCTGTTTTACTACATGTATGGAAAAAAAAATTTTTTTTTGATGCTTTTGTGACAAAAATTGAGATTACAACAAAATGAGCTGCTACAGCTAACACACTGGGCTGACTCTCCCCTCTCACTGTCTTTCCCTCTGAATCATATACTTTTTTGTTGTTAAGAGCCGTGCTTTCACGCAAATGTATTTAATTATATGGCTTTGTTATGTTACTGACGTACAACAGATCTGTGAACGTGATGGTGGGATTCCTAACCATCTGACTGTAGGAAGAGTAGCGGAAGTCAGTGTATCACTGTCAGGATCCCAACAGATGATATGAACCTATGAGGAAAACACATGGAAAAGGCAAGTGTGCAGCTCCAGAAGCACAGCGGGGAAGCTCTTGGCTGGAAGGACCCCCCCAACACCACCACCATGGGGACGTCCTGATTGTCAGTGTCTGTAGACACGCAGGCTGTGTGGAGGGCTGGCGGGTGCGGAAGCCAGAAAAGCCGGGGCCTGGGGCGTCCTGCCCACGGCCACCTGCTGCCCCTTCTATGTGCACCTGCTGGCGATGTTCCTGCGCACCTGGGGATTCTAGTCAAGCAAGGAAACGCACTGCAGGAGCGCAGAGTGCCTCCCCTGGGTGCTATCTGGGGCTGGCTTCTTCTTGGACTATCCAGGAAGGGTGCTTTATGGTTTTAGAAACGTGTCCTGATGCACAAACTGCAAAGCCTTCGGTGGCAGCTGGGAGCAGAGGTGGAGAAAACACCTCACAGGATAGCCTGTGGGGTCTGCTGTTCCTATAAACAGGTCTGAGTGATAATCCAGACGTTCGTCATCAACTATGGGCTCTTTCACGACACATGACATACAAATGACACAGCAGATTTAACAGGTACTGCCCTGAAGCGAGGGTGCTACCAGGTACAAACCACGTCACCCATCAGGTGTGTCAGCTGAAAGGAAAGACCAACATTCTGGAGCTATTTACCCATTTCTTACACATTATTTTTTTTTTCCCTAGCTATCCTTGAAAATTTTTCTTTTGTATCTTTCTGGACTCTGCTTCTTTGAATTCCATTTCTATGTTCTGAATAGTCGGACACACTCAATGGCTTAGAAAGGGAAGGATCCCCCTGGTCAGTACAAAGTCACAGCTACAGACCCGAGGTCACGCGGCCTCCAGGGTGCCTTCCAGCATCTCTGGGATGCAGAGCCTGGCTGGCCCCTCAAGCACCTGGTGGGCAGCGCACAGCCTGCAACCCGGGCAGCACGACCTTGCCTTTTCGATGCAGGTCGCCCTGGGCGCCCACGTTGAGCCGCTGTACCAGCAGCTTCTCGTAGAGCAGCGGGTGGTAGGCGCCCAGTGTGCAGGCGGCGTCATGGTAGGGCTCATGGTAGTGACACAGGTCTGTCTGCCGCACTGACGGGACGTATTCATACACGTGCACCTCGCCACACAGGTTCATCATCAGCAGGATACCTGGTGGGGGAGGGGGAAGCAAAGCCATGAGCAACTCGGGGAGGGGGAGGCATCAGTCCTCAAGGGTGGCGAATTCCACAATCATTTCTTCCTTGTCTATGTGTCTCTCTGTCCTAACCATATGTCTGCTTAGAGTCCCTCCCACCAGAGAGCAGAGGATTTGAGGGTGAGGGCTGGGTCACTTATCCATCTTCTTGTCATTAGTGGCATGCACAGTACTGGTGTAGAGTTAAGGATCCATATTTGTTGAATGACTATATGACCTACTTTTTTTTTTTTAATTTTAAATTTATTTTTTAAATGAAGGATAATTTGCTTTACAGAATTGTGTTGGTTTCTGCTCAACAGCAGCATGAGTCAGCCATAAGTATATATATGTCCCCTCCCTCTTGAACCTCTCCCACCTTCCTTCCCATTCCACCCCTCTAGGTTATCACAGAGTTTGAGTTCCCTGAGTCCTATATGACCTACTTTCTTAAGGAGAAGTAATGGGGGGGACATCTTTAGATAGGGTGGAGGGTCACAATTGGGGCAGGAAATACCTGCTCTGTGTCTCCTGACTTGTCGGCTTCACCTTGTGATTCTAGCTTCCAGTGAGTGGCATGTGTGAGGTCTGCAGACCAGGGCCATGCTAAGACACAATGCTATTACACATTCACTAATCCAGCTGACCACTGGGGACCCAGGAATGAGAGAAGAAAAGACCAAGCAATCAAACTTAAGCAGAGGACAGTTGGGGCCAGACCTATATCCCCAAGTCTGAATATACTTATCTCATTCCACACCCAGGTCCACCTGATTTACAACAGGAGGACTGTGATGCAACAAAGAAATGCGTGTAACGTAAAAAAAAAAATTATTATAAAATCATTAAAAGGAAAGAGATGGAGATAAAGAGTTCAAGATTCATATTAAAAGTGTTTTTCTCACTGGAACTATCCATATTAAAGTTTCTTTGATTTCTTTTTTATTTTTAATATTTCAAATAGCTATAAAAGTGCATCATCATAGAGGAAGTCTCATCTGGATCTGTGCTAAAGAGCATTATTTTCCGAGCTCTGCTATTTTCCCCACCACTTCTGTTAACACTCTTTACACTTGATCTTAGCTGAAAGGCTGAAAAGTGATGTATTAACACCTTTTAAACTTAAAATTATGTATGTGTATGTGTTAAGTCGCTCAGTCGTGTCTAACTCTGTGACCTTATGGACTATAGCCTGCCAGGCTCCTCGGTCCATGGGATTCTCTAGGCAAGAATACTGGAGTAGGTTGCCATTTCCTTCTCCCTTTTCGGAAAGGATAATCCTTGTTATGAAAAAGACATGAAAAAGACATGAAATCACACAGTGAGTTCCTGTTACAGACAAGGCTGGTCTGCAGAGGATAAGCATATTTCTAAGTAATCAACTGTGTTTGCAGCATGAAAATGCTCACAACTGGGGAAAGTCCAGCACGAGGGCCTGGGGGAGCAGTGGGAAGGGCTTGGGGATGCAGAGAAAGGTTCCTGGGGGAGGTGAGGGCTGAATCTGTAGGCACCACTTGGGGGTAGGGGGAGGGGAGACAGGATGACAGAGAGGACCCGGTGTCCTGTTCAGAAGACATCAGGACGTGCCTTGACAGCCACGAAGCTGCTTGCGGCTGCGAGTAAATGCTGCTCCTCACAGGAGACACAGACATTCTTCAGGTCGGGTTCTAGGAAGTCAAACTGTTCCCAAGAGCTATGTGGAAACATCAAGTCCAGCTCAGTCCCCCTCCTTCCTCCCAGCTCTGCTGGCTCCCTCCTCCCCTCCCCTTTCCATGAGCCCCCACAATGTGACCCAGATCCAGGTAGAGCCAGAGAGAACCAAGGACCAGTGTCGTCATATATAAATATATTTTAAAACAACTCTTAGAGCTTCAGAAATACAGAAATTTGCTAGGTATTTCATGGCCATCCCAACTGAAGGCCGACAGAGGTTTAGGAAGTGGGGTCTTTATCTTGAGTTATCTGCATTCTTCCTCCTGGTTTTTGCATCTCATTTTGTATTCTTGTATGAACTTGCTTCCCTGGTAGCTCAGGTGGTAAACAATCCTCCTGCAATGCAGGAGACCCAGGTTCAATCCCTGGGTCTGGAAGATCCCCTGGAGAAAGGAATAGCAACCCACCGCAATATTCTTGCCTGGAGAATTCCATGGACAGAGGAGCCTGGCAGGCTATAGTCCATGGGGTCACAAAAGAGTTGGACATGACTGAACGACTAACACACACACACATATGAACTTATGAGTTTCTGTAACCATGAGCCTTGGTCCAGAGCATTCTAAAATTTAAGTTAGAGCTGATTCTGCCCCAAGTGTTTAAATGATAGCCAGTTGTAGTGCTGACATCAAATTGTTAGGGCAACAGCTTTAAAGGGAGGGAAAAATCAGTTTGCAACTTGTAGGGTACATGTGAAGGGTTGACAAGATTTAGAAAACCAAGTGGAGAATATTTTTAATTATTTAAAATTTTTTCAGACATCTTGGTTATTTCATTTAGCATATGTATACTCTGCTTTTTAATTTACCAAGCCGATATTACAGATAAATTTGAGTTTAAATTTAAACTCTGCCATATAATAAATACTGAACTTCATTATTAAACGTGGTTAAATCTGCACATCACTTTTCCCAGGAGTTCAGAGTACTTAGCCACACACAAAATCCTGAAATGAAACTTCTGTATGTGTTGCAAAGAGGAAGTGGGTAGACCACGATGTCTGGAGTGTGTGCCCTGGCACAGCTGGGGGCTCGAGTTGGGAGATGGGGTGTGAGGGGGAAAGACTGCAGGAGGTGGGGTTGGGACCACACAGGGAGGGACCAAGCCGATAGGCACTGTTGGAAGCCTCTTCAGTTAAACTCACTCTGTATTAAACTGGGCACAGGCTGAGGACTGGGACTTATAAAAAGTTTATTTAAGAAAAAAAAGTAGGGGTTACCCTGGTGGTCCAGTGGTTAAGAATCTGCCTGCCAATGTAGGGGACACAGGTTCGATTCCTGGTCCAGGAAGATCCCACATACTGTGGGGCAACTAAGCCTGTGCGCCACAACTAAAGCCTATGAGCCGCAACAAGAGAAGCCGCCTCAATGAGAAGCCCGAGTGCCACACTAGAGACTAGCTCCTGCTCGTTGCAACTAGAAAAAGCCTGAGTGCAGCAATGAAGACCCAACACAGCCAAAAAATAAATACATAAATCTTAAAAAAAAAGTAAACTAAAGAACGAATGTTTACATTAAAAAAAAACAAACAGGTGGCAGGCCCATGACCTACCATCCCGAGGATGACTTGAAGAGAGTGTCTTCACTATCGACTGAGACAAATGCCTTCACTGCCAGCAGCATCTCTTCTGACCTGCGGTGATGCTGCTCTATCACCATGGTGACGTCAACACCAACAACATGTGGTCCGCAGACATTTTCTCTGCGTTATGCTGATGAGGGACTGGGTCTGAGTTCCCCAGCCTGCCTCCGGGTTTGATGACTTGCCAGAGGGACCTACAGGATCCAGCAGAGTCAGTGATTTACTACAGGTTTGGCTTAGACCGTCCAGACTCCAGAAGGAAGCAGGTGCTGGGGAGAGGCCCCACTGCTGCATAAGCATCTGGGCACAGTGACCCACCCTGTCAGAAGGGAGGGTCCCCTCAAACCCAGGCTCCCAGAAGCCAGCCACGGGTCAACCCTGCAGGCAGAGGTCCCTGGTAGTCAGCAGACAGGCCAGCGGGGCTGCAGCCTGTCTGCACAGACACCCTGTGTGTATAAACTCACAGCATCACATTGTTCCTCGTTGTTCCCCTAAGCCAGACCCATATGGGGAATTCACATCTGGCTACACTAAAAATTTTTTTTTCATTTCCTTTCTTAGGACTGCTCAGGATTACCCCCAGAGCAAAAATGAATACAAATCATCTCATGCTATCTAATTCAGTAAAGAATTTTTAGAAAAATCACTTAAGGAACTTTTATGTTACATAATTTCGTTTATGGACTATTCAAAAGGAACTGCTTTCAGCACTAATAAAATTTTACTGCTTTCAGTATGGAGCCAGACTTTTTGACAAGTGGATCAATATTTAGACACTTTTTAATGTATTTTTCCAAACCAATCAAATGGGCATGCAGCCAGTTCCTAAAAATCCTTTAACATAATTCATGTTAGGTTTTTTGGCCAGGTTTTACAAATGAGTAGGGATTCACTTGAAGAAAAAAAAGTGCAAATTTTTCTGGGCAATTATGACTCAAGAGCCATTCATTTGCCAAATTACAGGTTTTAAAATATTGTATAATTCAAAATAATTATCTAACCAATTAAAAAGCATTTCCACTGGTCTTAATAAAATGTCATAGTCTATGACTCAGTTTAACAAGCAGTATGTATACTTATTTATTTTTCCAAAACCTGGATAAAAAGCAAACCTCCACCTGCATGTTTGCATGTTATGTTCAGATGACCACAAATTCTGAATAAACAAGGTTCTCTGATAAAAACTCTACTTTTGGGGCTTCTCTGGTGTCCAGTGGTTGACAATCTGCCTTCCAATGCAGGGGACGCTGGTTCAGCACTTGCGTGGGGAACTAAGAGCCCACATAAGCAACTAAGCCCACTCCACAACTAGAGAGCCAATACTCTGCAACAAAGACCCAGCTCAGTGCAACCAAAAAAAAAAAAAAAGAAACCCAAACCTTTACTTTGCAGATACATAGATGTGTTTGATGTGTTAGAGTCTAACAGAACTTAATCATTTAGACTTTAATTGTGATCACACCAAATTATCTTACTTTGCACCTGGCAAAATATTAAAATGATACTCCAAATTGTTAACAATAATAGAATTTTCTCCTTGATGAATGTATCTTTTTAACATGGGGCAAAATAAGCTATGGACATAAATAGAACCTAATGCAAGTGATGGAAAAAATACAGGCTCTCATCAATTTCAGGTAACACTTGAACATAATTCACATGTCAGGTAAAAGAGAAATTT